GTGTGTGTGTTGGTGTGTGTTCATGTCTGCTTCCCTTCTCTGCTGGCCTATAAATTCAGAGGCCAAATTAGCACTTAACACTAATGAAGACTGCAGTCTCTGGAGGTTTCTCTGTGAGTGTGTGTGTGTGTGTGTGTGTGTGTGTGTCAGTCTGTCCTGGTCTGTGGGCTGATAAAAATTCAGGAATTGTCCTTTTTGTTTTTTGTAGTTGATTTGAATCACATTAACATTAGAGCCCTGGTCAGTTTGTTTACACAGACGTGTCAGTCTGACAATGGACTGTTTGACCTCTGACCTCAGTCTGGTCTTTGACTGATGCGGAGTTCAGGTGTGGCTTCTGTCAAAACGTTTGAACAAAAATACAGAAAAAAAATCTCAGGGACAAGTTTTTTAATTCAGACTATTATATTTATCTGAATAACGTAAAATATAACAAATATATTTACTTATTATTTTTTAAATTTTAAGTCACGTACTGTTTTACTGCACACCCTCACGTACAGTACAGTGATATACAGTCGTCAGCATTGTTCAAGTGTGCGTCATTACCACGGTGGTGAAAAGTAATGGTGTGATGTTTATATCAGTTGTTAATGAGACTGGTGGCTGATGGGACGAAGCTCAGCCAACAGCATCAAAGTCGCTGAGGAGTGAAATTCACGACACATTTTCTCATTTTACCACCAGAGCAGATTATGAAGAAAAAAAAAGTCTATGAAAAAATGCCCTTGGAATTCACTTCACTCTTTGATGACACTGATAAATCTCAAGTTTTCTGCCATATTGTCATAGGACAACCAAAACTTTAAAACTAATGCAAGAAAACTAAAAAAATGTCTCAACAACACACAAAAGTGTTTATTCAGATGGATTAAAAAGTTATCAAATAAAGAGCTAAGATTAATTCAAATATAGCCAGAAATGTATGTGAATATGTGCCAGGAAGAATGTTTTATGTTTTACTTGGTGTAATGTTGTGGCGCCCTCTGCTGTAGTAGCTGAACTCTGTCTGTCTCTCCTTTCCCTTCTCTCCAAACAGAATCTATAATTTATTTTACAAGATACAATGAATATTTATGTGCTGGTCCATCTTTGATGGCAGCCAATGAGGCGACAGCAGAGTCAGCGTAAATCAGCCACCGACTCCTTCCCTCTGAGGCTGTAAAAAGGCCTGGAGTTATTTATGTGTGCATTTTTTAAAAATTTTAGCTGACGTTTTCATCAAGGAGAAGCATGGGTGTGTGCAGAGGATGAAAAGCATGTCCTGCAGCTAGTGGTTAAGTACAGGATCACACTTTCAGAGGTCAGAGAGCCAAGTAATGGGTTAAATTCAGGGATTTAAAAGAGATAATAGTGTTGAATGCTATGAATTTCTGTTCAGAAAAATTATTTATTATTCTGCCTCTTTTATACACGTATACAAAACTGTTCATCATCTGACCAACAGCATGGACTTCTGGATGGTTGATAAAAAAAATGGCATCAACAAGGAGGTGAGGGAGTGATATTTTGTGGTTTGAAATGTATTTAAAGCTCTTGTATGTTCTCTTTATTGACATTGAGTCAAAATCACCTACAAATGTGCCCCCCGTGGCTACATGTTATGGTATATAGATAACATGCCTTTCACTGTTTAAGACAACAATAACGTCCAAGTTATTATCTTTATAAAGACATAGGAGACAAAAAAGACTGACTGGCATGGCCGCTTGCATTGAAACTAAATATTATGTGCATTATTATGTGTTTTATGGTTAGAAAAGTCATGACAATTCTGTTCCGCTTCATACATTAGTTCTCGAGGGCAGGACTTCCTGAGATCTAAACCAAACTTCATACGTTCTCGGGGGCAGGACTTCCTGAGATCTAAACCAATGGCTACATAGGACACTGGATGTGCTTTGAAGGGTCATGTTTCGTAAACTCGTCGTTCCCGGTAATACTGTCCAATAGAATTAATGAAACTTCCCTTGTCCCACCTGCGCAGGGCAACAGACCAATCAGAAGTATCATTGTTCAGTGTTCGGCTTTGAGTGGCGTGACCATGAACCAATGGTTATGAAGAGGAGTTCCCGAGAACCAATGGGCGTTTAGGACGCAGAGGCTCAGCTTATAAATGACAAGGTGACTGTTTGGCTCGTTCTACACTCATTGACTGCCGCTGTGAGCGTAAGCAGCTAATATCGGACTCTCGGAAACCCCAAACTAAGCGGTAATGTTTGTTTCATTTCCATGTCACACGCTTCTATTTTGAAAATGAACAGTTTTATTGCAGGATTGTCTTTCATTTACTCGCCTGTGTGTGCGTTGTCTTCAGAAGCTTGGGTAGTTAGCTTTTATTGCTAATATGCTAGGTCGGCCATTCAATGACTCGGACTGGGGGAATATGGCTATAGCTGTTAGCGCTACTTTGTATTCTTGATTTACAAGACGGTTAACTTAATAACCTGTTGATTTAGTGTTGGATTTGTGATTGTATGTCTGCTTGTGCGAGCCGCGGGTCATGAACAGGACACCGCGCGGCCGGATTCTGTTGATAGGCTGCTGGATGTAAAATGTCTGACATCCTTCGGGCCTTTCATGCTCTGCATCCACTCCGCGGCTGAAAGGACACATGTTGTCCTATAGCAGCGTTGTCACACAGCGCCCTATTATGTCATTTACATTCTGGTGAAAAGATGCGGTTGCAGGGGATGTACAATGTCTACTCTCTGGGCCTCAGGTGGACATCTGCAGTTCATTTTTGACCTTCAAGGCTGCTAGCCGGCTAGCTTAGCAACTTAGCTCCAGCCCCGGCGCTTCGATTTACTCCACGCTGACAAACACTAAAAAAACGAATTTTATCATGGGTGGGATATTTGTGTAAAATAATCTGTACTCAGACCGGTGAACTATTGTTGTTTCTAACTGTCTTTTGTGACAGTGATAACACACTGTGTGCACTTTGACCTGTGTGTGTGTGAAGAAAATTATTCCTGCATTGGCAGAATTAACTACAGTCTACTGACCATGACTGCACTTTTTCTTTATTTTCACATCCATACAGATTGTAAAAGTATTCTATAAGATCCTGGCAATACGAAGCGTATCATAATACAGGCTTTTATAACTTCCTTAAACAGTTGCACCTTGTAGAAGGAGAGAACGGCAGAAAGACATTGTCCTGTCATAACTAATGGCGTCTTCTCCCAGTGTTGGAGCATTTAATTCAATGATTTTGTGTGTGGCTGTTATTTGGATTAACTGGCATGAGCTCAATGATCATTGCAGCTGACCGTCTGATCGTTTTATTCTGGATTCTTGTTGAATAAATGATTTTCTCTTACAGTAATCACGAATAGACAAACACTTTTTATATGATGATCAGTGGAGCACAAAGTTTAAAAAAAAAAGTAGATTTTTCAGAGCTCAGTACATTTGTCTGTTTGACCTTAATGTAAGTCAATGGTCAACTGTGGGCTTTTAATCCTCTATCCCTGAGATCTGTGCTCCATCCACTAACCCTAGCAGCGTCTTCCACCTGTTCACTGCTCATCATTGTCTTCTTCAAGTGCTGTCATTAATTCTAACTGAATCTTTCAGTTGAAGTCACCTTTTTGTTCCCCTACCCTCTAAATCAGGATAGCCTGACCCTTGTCACATATTGTACTTTTCAGTTGTCAAAACATTTTTTTTTATTTTTTGCAATGATTTTAATATGAATGAAACTTTGACTCAAACTTTCACTTCAACTTAGGCTACATGGCACTGATAACACACTGTGTGCACTTTGACCTGTGTGTGTGAAGAAAATTATTCCTGCATTGGCAGAATTAACTACAGTCTACTGACCATGACTGCACTTTTTCTTTATTTTCACATCCATACAGATTGTAAAAGTATTCTATAAGATCCTGGCAATACGAAGCGTATCATAATACAGGAAATGATACAATATAATGGGATATACTGTAATACTATAGGCATGATGTATTGATTTTTTAACCAACTTATTGTAGTAAAACTGTCAGTATAGTAAACACACATCTGTTACATGCTTAGAGAAGAACTAAAAGCAAAAATAAAATGAACACCATTCATTTTTCTACGTTAATAAAAGATCAATATGTTGCTGTAGAATATCAATAGAGTGTGGTGAAAATAAATAGTGATATTTTGTGTATGTTTTATTACCAGTAGTATATAATTAGAGCACAGTGTAGTCACAGAGGTTTGAATACTGATGTTTCCTTTAGTGTAATGATTGTCATTAGATTCTTAATGGACCTAATACTTTTATATGTGCTGAACAGACATTTCATGTGGTTATTAAAGTCTGTATGGAAGTACTGACATGGTGTGTTTCTCAACACCAGGTTCCAGCCATGTATGCCTGCGCCAAGTTCATCACTTCTCCTGCTGTGGTAAGTCTGCTGGCCTGTCCTGAATGTGAGGCAATTAGCTTTGAGCTAAGCGCTAACACATGAGCGCTAACACGGTGGTGGAGTGTGTGGCTTCATCCTTGTTTGGGTTCAAGGGCACAGTATTTACTGTGTGTCCATGAATGGCAGCCACATTTAGTCAGCTGACCCCACAGCATGTCGGGCATCTCAGTCATGAAGGTACTTGTGGTCACTTGTATGCTAACGCACCCTGACCTTAAAACTGGAATCTAATCTGTGATAAATATTTGATTAACAATGTTTAAATTTCTTTTCTTTTTCTTTTCCAGCTCCGTGGGGGGTCCAGAGTCCTCGCCCGGCCAGTCTCAGTCTCCCTGTTTAACAGACCTGAAGCCACAGTGGAGCAACAGGTCAGTTGTCATTACACCTGTGAGAGTTAATTACACAATAGTGTAAATGTTTTCACATGAAGCTGGAGAAAAGAACAAGAGCATCACTGATGATCATTCACAGATTTTTTTTATTAATTACCTTAATATTTATTGAAATTAATATTCATCTGTATTACTGTTCTACAAAGTGCTGTTTGAGACAGAGGAACATATGTTGCTGCACATGTAACTCACTGTTTTCCTCCTGCCCCCCACTCCCCTCCAGGCCTTGCTGCCTCTGAGCCAGTCCGTAGTCCTGTCCCGCTCTTTCCAGACCAGTGCGGTCTCCAGGGACATCGACACTGCTGCAAAGTTCATTGGTGCTGGTGCTGCCACAGTGGGCGTGGCCGGATCAGGAGCTGGAATCGGAACAGTGTTCGGCAGCCTTATCATCGGCTATGCTAGGTAAGGTACACACACTAGCCTTTTTTGTGTTGGTTGCTGGCAAACAATAACCCAATGGATTATGGGTAAAAGTGACCACTGCATTTTGAGTTTATTGCAGTGATTTTATTTTCATAAAAATGGTAAAATTCATACAGTTGGACTCTTTGACGTCACTTGGTGACTATATTTTGAAGAACTTTGATTTAATGCATATATAATGTTTGTGCTGCCCTCTACAGGAACCCTTCCCTGAAACAGCAGCTCTTCTCCTACGCCATTCTGGGGTTTGCTCTGTCTGAGGCTATGGGTCTGTTCTGTCTGATGGTGGCGTTCCTCATCTTGTTCGCCATGTAAACGTACAAACAACACCACTCCCTATACTTCTGCTTCCCTCCATCCCGGTCACCTCCGCCCGCTCCCTCGCTCCCTTCTATCCGGAGGGTGGGTTTCAGAACAGGAACTCTGAGCCAGCAGATGGGCCATTCCAGTCAAAAAGAGGAAGAAATATTAAAAATCAGAGGTTAGCAAAACCTCCAGTCCTACATTTTTATTTTCTGACACGTTTATTTTTTTTTGTTTTTCTGAAAATTTATGTAAAACCTTACATGGTTTTAAAAACAATCTGTCCAGAATAAATGGTTGAAATAACTGAACTGTTATCAGACCTCCATCTGTTTCCATGCATCAGTGTGCCATAAAAGGACTTCACTATGGAGAATGATGGGTAGTTTTTTGTTTTTGTTTTTTTTAAACAGGTTCTGGTTCCTCACTGGTTATTGCAACTACATCAGGTAAAAAAAGGTTATATTTAGGAGAGAATAATGTGAAATGCCAAAGAATAAATAAACTGTAGGCATCATAAATAATAATAATAATCTGTGAGCTCTGAAGATCCAGACCATTTGAATTTAATAACATGGTCAGACTGCACTGTCCAGTTCAGCCCCACTGGAAGATCCAGACCATTTGAATTTAACAACATGGTCTGACTGCACTGTCCAGTTCAGCACCACTACCACTGTTTGTTAGTACATCTTCAAACTGTCTGTGATCTTTAGATTATGTGAGAAAGGAAATTACCTTACGAATATACTGTATACGGGAGGAAACGTAATCAAAGGCAGTAAAGGATTAAAAATAAAAGGCTACTGCAGGTAAGAAAAAAACAACAACCAAAAACAGCGAAATCCCGTCTGAATGGACGTGTTATGAATTAACAAGCTATGGCTGCCACAGTCTAAGGTATGTGACTGCTGACATGATGGGGTGGGGGTGGAAGGTCAAGGTTATGGTCAAGATATCTGACAAAACCCACACGGGCAGAATCTTTGGGTCAGAAGTTAAGCACAGCTATTGGTCATCAAATGTAACTTATTCATTTTTGACACTTCCCTTTAAGGTCCACAAATTAATTTCATGTCTACATGTTATTTATGACAAATTATTTTAGATTATTTCTGATATTTAAAATCACGATAAGCCTCATGTTAATATATCTGTGTGGAAACCAACTCTCAACCTTTATAAACTATGCTTTTTTAAGGTTAACTGTATTCTGACGTCATTTAAGGGGAACCTTATTTTGAAAATCTGTTGGTTTTGGTGTAAAACGTACTTTTCATTGTGTAATCGATTGTTTTTGGTTGTTGTTTTTTGTCAGTGGGCGAAGTGATCTCCATATGATCTCCTTTTGAATCATCTAGTTTTAATGTCATACAGTTTATTGGTTATATTTGGGTGAAGTGATCTCCATACGATCCATACTTTATAATAATCTAGTGTTAATGTCATACAGTTTATTGGTTATATCTGAGCCATTCCACATTTCTGGACCCTGAAGCTAAAGGAGCGAGGTTTATTTTGAAAATCGTGAACGGATGTGATGCGTGTTCTTTGCGCAAGTGGAACTTTACTGGTGAGAAATCAGATCCGAAAGTTGCGCCGTGTTGTGGTTGTGCCGATGCGACTGTTGTTTGTATAAAACACTGCTTTGTGGTAACGTTCTGTTCGTATCACAGACAACAGCCGTGACATGGAGATTTCCGGAGTTGAATGAAGGCAGAGGAGGAACCTAGAGACTTCCTTCATCGGCCCCCGGGACCAATCGGGTTGAGCTTTCAAATAAATGTCGACCATGTCATGGGAAGAAAAGCCTCGTTCTGTGGCCTCGCCTCCACCCTGCTCCGCCACTCGTTGAGCTAAACGAACTGAGAAACCTCGCACTCCCGCTGTCAACGCAGGTAACGTGAAGTTAGCTCCGTGAGCTGCGGCGCTTTTAGCTCGCTAGCTCCACGGCCATGGCGGACAGTGGCAGTCCCATTGGCCCGGGCGGCACCGGACAAGGCAGCGCTAGCCCGCCGCACCAGACCGCCGCGAACTGTCACCCGGAAGGAAGCTCGTCGGCTGCCTGTGTACCCTCCACCTCCAGTCCGGCCTTTCCTCCGCCCGCGGACGCCGCGGACAGTGGCCTAACCGCGCTGGTGGCGCCTATTTCCACCACTCCTGCCGTGTTTGGAACCTCATTCATGCCCGGAACTACGCCACCTGTCGTAGCCGTGTCTCCGACTGTTCACACACCCACACCCGCCATTGAGTTCGGAGTGGCCGGGGGTGCAGAAGCGAACCTTATGACGTGGAAATACCCCACGACCTGGGACCCGACCCTGAGCTCGGACTGGGACAACGAAAGGGCTTCACAGCCGTGTATCCTGAGGATAAAGAGGTAATAAAATAATCCGTCAACCAGTTTCCACTGACCACCTGAGCAGACGGTGAACGTGTCGCCCAGGAAATAAAAAGCGAAAGTTTCATGAATTGACTGGAAATTGACTAAGCAGCTGCGTGTTTTTGTTTTGATTCACTGCTTCCTCGTGTTTTTTTTTATTATAGTTCTACTGCAGTACTGTAAAAAACAGGAGTGAGTCATCGAATTTCAAGGAAGGATCTGAATCACTTCTTATTAATACATGTATTTGGAAATAAAGACACACAGGAATAATAGTCGGATTAACATCTGTAGACAAAAAATAAATAAATCTAAAATGTCACATGACCAGCGTCAGTGAATGACAGTATCAGACATTTAGGCCTAAACACACAGATTATATTTATAGATAATTCCTCAAACCTTAAAGTGTCACTCTTTGAGGGTTGACAGATTAAATTTTATTTTCCCTGTTGTACAAGAACTGCAGTACAGGTATTACAGTGTTACGTGTCTGTCTCTGCAGGGACATCATGGCCATCTACAAGGAACCTCCACCAGGAATGTTCGTGGTCCCCGACCCTCAGGACATGACGAAGGTAAAAAAAGGACAGTTGTTTTCCATCATGTTTTCAGTCGGTCAGTCTACTGTAAAGACCGGCCCACTACTGAATCATCTCCACTTCACTGCAGCCAAACCACGACACACCACCACCAGATTCTATTTTTTAAAGATAGCTTCACACGTCTCTGTTAAAAAAAAAAAAACACTGCTGAGTATCACCTTCACACCCGGGCGTCTCGATTCACCGGCTTGAATTTCAGCCACTGCCTTCACCTGTACGTCATTGTCAAAGGTCAAGTTGGAGTTGTAGAAATGAAGGAAGAGTTTGTGTCTTTATTAGTCAATTTAGTTAAACATTTGTAACTTACTGTTTTTGTCACAGAGTGCTCCTCTTTTGTAGACCCCGTCCCCACATCAAAATGTTCGCTGTAATTGCTTCAGATCTCCACTAAACTCCATTTAACAAAACAAAATAAATCACTCTTTCAGTTTATTTCCCCACAGTGACTCTGATAATCAAGGAAATATTTGATCTGTGTAATAAATATTGGAGTCATCAGCGTATACGTACGTACTAACCCCGGCCATGACCGTCCTCTGACGTGACTTCTCTCTTCCCCTCAGATCCACGCTCTGATCACGGGGCCGTTCGACACACCGTACGAGGGCGGCTTCTTCCTCTTTTTGTTCCGCTGCCCCCCCGACTACCCCATCCATCCTCCCCGGGTCAAGCTCATCACCACAGGACAGAACACCGTGCGCTTCAACCCCAACTTTTACCGCAACGGCAAGGTGTGCCTCAGCATCCTGGGGTGAGTGTGGAGTTGTCTGTTACTGGTCTGTTACTCTGCTCCTGGAAGGTCAAAGTTCAGTTGTAACTTTGTAACTGTTGTGTTTTTGTGTTGTATTCAGTAAACAACCCCCCACCCTGAGTTTTTTAACAGCTGTCTGTGTTTTGCAGTTTTTATTAATTACACTTTGCAATTTTTCTCTAGGACGTGGGCTGGTCCAGCTTGGAGTCCGGCCCAGAGCATCTCGTCCGTCCTCATCTCCATCCAGTCCCTGATGACTGAGAATCCCTACCACAACGAGCCTGGCTTTGAACAGGTACCGTGTCTGTGTGTGATTGTTTACAATGAGGGTAGTACTACAACTGGTACTTCAGTTTCATTCTGAAATCACACAAACTTTGCATATTTGCATATGGCGCCATCTGCTGGAGGTGGTGATGCTGTAACCTGTAACCCACATGTTTGAGAATTATGTATCAAAACCACTGCTGTAGATCATGTTCAGTTTTTAATGTTGTTCTCTGAACATGTGAACATAAACGACTACAGCAGTATCGTGTGTGTGTGTGTGTCGTGTGTGTCTCAGGAGCATCATCCAGGGGACAGTAAAAACTACAACGAGTGTATCCGCCATGAGACCATCAGGGTGGCTGTGTGTGACATGCTGGAAGGAAAGGTCTCCTGTCCTGAAGCTCTGTGGTGAGACTTGAACACTGAACTGAACTGATTGTTGTTCCGTTTTTTTTTGTTTGTTTGTTTTGCTCCAGCAGGGGGCGGTACCAAAAAACCCACCAGAGCTGGGGCTAAATTAAAGAAGTCGTTCTATATGCATTACCAATATATTACAACAATATATTATATTAGCCTGAGCTTGTTCCACACCAAACACTCCATGTATGTTACACAGAGCTTGTTCCACACCAAACACTCCATGTCTTACACGTCGACTGCCCTCTGCTGGATTATGTAGTAATGACTCCATGTCATTAACAAAAAAAATTATTTTCTGGATACGATTTTCTCTCTAATATTCTTTTTCTGACCACTTGTGTTTTCCTAGGAGCGTGATGGAAAAATCCTTCCTTGAATATTACGATTTCTACGAGGGAGTTTGCAAAGAGAGATTCCATCTGGAGGGACAGAAAATGCAGGTGAGTGGACGAACTCTCCTTTAACTAACTCAATCATACATCAGTAACTCAAACACAAACAATATCATGATATGTTACCCAAAAAAAAAATAATACCGAGCAATTATTTTTATGTAATTTAACTACAGTTTTATATGAAAAAAGTATTTTGATTTTCTAGATTGTTTTATGTGCCAGAAAAAGAAAATGTCTGTGTAAGGCTTTTGTACAAAATGGTGTCTCAGTGCTTCTACTGCAGTAACTTCAGTAATTCTCACCTCAGTATTGGTTTTTAATCTTCTATCCTCCCCCCACCCCCTGACCCAGGACCCCTTTGGTGAGAAGCGGGGTTATTTCGACTACCACGCTCTGCTGGCCCGCCTCAGAGAGACCCACAGGAAAATAAGGGAGAAGAACCTGGCAGAGGACGCCAACAATGACGAAGACTCAGAGTCAGACACCAGCTCCTCGGGGACGGACCCTGACAGTCAGGGCTGGGAAGCAGCTCCCAGCCCAGAGTCTGGATCCTGAACACAAGACCAAGTCCAGAACTGAAGGTTGAGGGGTTTGTTTTATTAGTATGCAGCGGAGCAAGGGGGAAAAAAAGAGAAAAATAAAACAATGAGAAAAAAATAAGTAACTCCTCAGTCTGAGGCTGTCCAGTGAGAGCAGGCGTCAGTCTCACCCTTTATCCTGGTGTCACAGCTGGTCTCTTGGCACCAGGGGGCGTCACAGCTGAAGAGAGCAGTCGTTCTTAAGAAGAAGCGGTTTTCATGGACGTTGGATAGATTTCGGCGAGCGCTGCTGTTCTCGATGTGGAAGCGATGCAGCCGTAAAGCCACCTAGAGGTTCACAAAAGAACTGCTCTCCACGTGTTTGCTCCTTTTGGAAACTTTCTCAAGTTTCAAACTTTCTTTCTGGTCAGATTTGAAAACGTACACAGAAGCGGCGTGGAGTTGGAGCGACGGTTCTCCTCCTTTCCTTTTCTTCCACCTCCGTCAGCGCTCTCTCTCTCTCTCTCTCTCTCCCCAACAGCTTCACTTCTGATGAGACTCAAGTTGGAGCGGCTGCTCCTTTCTAATCTACAACTCTTCCTCCGCTGCTACATCTCCATCGTACACCAGTCGACGTTTACTTCGAGGGGCTCTTATTTTCAGATCGTGTCAGAAAGCATTCAAACGTTTATAATCCTTTTTTTTTTTTTTTTTTAGCGAGTCATTGTTGTCTGTTGATGACCCTCCACCACCGTCCCGTCACAGACAGCGCCCCGGATGTTAATCCACTAACTGTAGCCCCCACATCCTGGCTCTTATTTTCAGATCGTGTCAGAAAGCATTCAAACGTTTATAATCCTTTTTTTTTTTTTTTTTTAAGGGTTTGTGGTCGCTTAGGGTGCCATCTGCTGGAAGGGGCAATGCTGTTAAAAACGCAAAATGGACAATAGAGGGCGCCAAACCATAATTTCGCCTATGGCACCAAATTGATGATATTCAGTTCATTTACTCTCTTTTCCACCTGTTTTCTGTTCCTCATTCTCTTCTCCAGCTCCCCCTACCTGTGTGGTGGTATCATGTAGTGGCACCTGTGTCCCCAACACCCCCCCCCCCCCCCAGCTACAGTACAAATATTCAAGTAGTAGTGAATACATTTAACGGTGTTTGTGATTTGTCATAAGACATGGGAGAAAAACAGGTTTGTGTTTCAACCAATGGAAGAAAGAGAGAGAGAGAGAGAGAGACGATGAATGACTGCTGTCACTTGTGTAGTTAAACGTGTACGTGTAGGAAGAAGAAAGCAAGAAAAAGGGTGGAAGTTGGTCCTTATAAGACATGAAGTCACTCTGGGGAAAAAAAAAAAAAAGAAAGCAAGAAAAATAAAACGTCATCTTGTCCTGATCACCGTCTTTATTCCCTGTCTTGAAAATGTGTTTTTCATCAGAGCAGGAATTTTTCAGTGTGAAGAGATGAGGTAGGAGACATGGATGGAAGGTTTCACCTGCTGCGTCTCCTCTGATCAGAGTGAGACCACCTCTGACCTCTGACCTCCGACCTCCTCAGCATTCTGCTGTAACCACGCCTGACGCAGCTGTCGCTAAGTGACTGAGCAGATGTGAAGCTGACCTGTATTTCTCCATTTCCATATCAAAAACTTATTTTTGTAGCTTTTTTTTCAGCATCATGCAAAAAAAATCAAACCTAATGCTATTAGCTGTACGCAGGTCTGAGGGCTTAAAAAAAAAAAGAAAAACTCCAATGGGATCTGGTCTGAATATGGACCTGAAATAACGCTGCGTGTGCATGTACAGAAGGGAAATGTGTTTTTTTTTCCCTGCATAGTTTTGAGTCAGAACATAAGGATGTCAAAATGGTAGTTTATTTTTGTTGAAAATAAACAAATCAATTCTGAAACGGACAACAGTGATTTCAATGGCTTCTTTTATCGACGTTGTGCTGATGACGAGCTGTGATTGGACGAGGATCTACAGCAGGATCCTCGTCCAAACACAGACGTTCAGTTCTCCCTCCACATGTCTGTGATTGGATCCTGCTGTAGAGCCTCGTCCAATCACAGACGTTCAGTTCTCCCTCCACATGTTTTCGTCTGTTCACTACTATTGTCCAAAAAAAGCACCTGATGTCTACGGTAATTCAGCCAACTTATTCGACTTTGTCCACCAGGTGGAGACATTTCTACCATGTACAGAGGAGCACGGTTCCTGTTCCACAGCCTGGTGCCATAGCCCCGTCTCATCCACTCCCAGCTCAGGAATCCTCCGGACTGAGAGGTGACTCACCAACCAATCACTGATGCTCCTGACTGTCACTTATTCATCAGGCTGCACCTCGTTTTTCTTCTGTGCTCATATACACAGGTGTTTTCACAAGGAAACAGTACAATAAATAATTAGTGGCATTTTATATATATATAATATAATATATATAAACTTCTGTTCTGATTTATGATTTAGCTTTTAGACAAAGTCTGTCTTTTATTATGAAAAGTCTTCTTCCTGTAGCTAATATAGCACACATTTGGATACAGCAGGTTGAGACCTTGATTCAAGTGGAAATAGTGACTTGGGAATTTAATCATAAAACAAAATAATAAATTGCGATCATTATATCAATTACATATTTATTTAATTAAGTCTCTTTGTTTACTTTGGGTTGGGTTTGATTTAAAGTTACGTAACTGACTGTTTATGTCGTGTTTTTGTTTTTCTACGTTGTTATAGAAAACTAAAAACTAAGACAATGAAATCTATTTATATTTGATTTAAATTGTGTTTTTTTTTCTTTATGTTTTAGTGGAAAAAAAGTTTTAAAAAAAAACCAAACAAAAAAACATTCCCATAATGCACCTGTTTATCTGACGCAGCACGTTTCCCCATCCGTTCGTCTGGATTGGTTTCCTCCAGGCTGGGCTCGGCTCGACTCGTGTTCCTTCGGCTCTACTCGGCTCGGCTCGGCTCGGTTCATCCCATTAGTGCAGCAGCTCCAGGTGCGGATCTGCGCAGAGAACAGGATCTTCACAGGTAAGTTCTTCCTCTTCTTCTTCTTCGTGTTCCTGTAAAACATGTGCTGTTATATTTAGTTTCAACAAAAGTCGAAACAAAAGTCGGGGAAGTTTGAGGGAAGTTTCTTTTCTTTGTCAGGTCGAAATCCGTGCGTTTGCTGAAGCATAGCCACAAACGTAACAGTAACAACAACAAAAACACGGTGTTTTATTTGTATTTAACATTTAGAAATGTTTTTAGTTCAACTCGGTTCAACGTCACATTTGTTTCCTGTCAAAACGTAAACATTTAGTAATTAAAAAACAAACTTCGGCCCGCGCTCAGACTCACACACACACAGCTAATTTTCATATCTTTTAAATGTTTAAACTATTCTTAAACCAGTAAATTCACAGAAGAACTTTTCTGCGGAATCAAAAACCTCTCTTTTAGTTCGTTTTACAAACGAATCAAACGTGAGGTTAAGCAGTTCACATCCGGGGTAAAATTGAATTTGGCCTCCATTTCTTTTTAGCACAAATCAAAGCTAAATAATTTGAGCCTTTTTTTTTTTACTATCTCTCACTTTAATTAAAAGAAATCAGTGATTTTTTTCTCTATATGTAACGATAATTACATTTGTTTTGAAATGTGGGCTCAAATAAAAATAAAATCAAATAAATACTCATCTTTTTGCAATTAATTCTATGTTTTCTATCGTGTGAAACTACTAGTTATAGTCTAGTCATGGTAGTTTGCTGCTAGTAACCTGACCATGGGGCATTACTTTGTTTATGCTTCGATGGTAATATTTATTTTTATAAAATGATTTGAACCTGTAGGATGTTACTGTGTGACTGTAATTTTAAGGACAGAAAACATTCGTTTTTTTCAAAACCCAGTTGATCAATAATCAGTTATTGATCAACCGATCCATCACTGATCCATCACTGATCCATCACTGAAACCACCTTTAGTCCAAACTGTCACACAGGGATTTGATTTCTAGGAAGTCACAGACAAAATATCCAGTTCTGCCGATGTCACGTGTCGACAAACAGCCTGAGCATGTGGCTCCGGAACATTCCTGTCAGAAGGATCTGGAGCTGAACCGGTCTGTTCAGGTCCGGGTCCTGTGTATGGGACATCACACACACGTTTGCTTTTGTAGTACGTGTTGTTCTTGGCAGAGTTTCCTGTAAATCTCAGTGTGGATCTCTGTCGCTGTGTCTTCATCATCAACGCTAACGACTTATCTTGTTATCGTGATGTTAGGTCTTTAAAAAACAAAAAAATAAAGTTATGACACTTTGTTGTGTCTGGACGTCTACTCTGTTAGCTCAGGCTAGCTCAGGCTGTGCTAAACGTCTGTCCGTCATGTGGTTCTGTTTGTTGACGTCATCAGATAATCTCGCTGACACCCGTCGTTAACTCGTTGACTTTTTTGTTTTTGAAAATGTTGCATTTCAGGAATCCGGAATTCTTTTCTTCCCCTGTATGCCAGAGTGATGGAGTCACTCACTTGTTCTGGCTAGAATTTCAAATCAATAATTCAGGATTTTAGAGTAAATCTTAACTCTTCATAGAGCTGAAGAATTTCTGTTCATTCTTGTGTTCGAACACAAAGTAGCTGTGTCCCAATGTGTGGGCTGTGGGCCATAAAAGATGACACTCTCACTGGTCTTCAGATCAAGTGAGCCATGTGTACCACATGTCTGCGACGGCCACCAACGACAAGTGAAAACCCTCATCTCTCCTCTGTACGGATCTGTGCTTCAAACGTGTCATTATCAGAGAAGTGCGTTCCTTTCTGACCTCCGTGGTCGCCGTCCTCATCCTTTCATTTTCCCCGTATTGTTTTTTTTCTGACTTGATGAATCGATGGTGTCACCGCAGCCGCGGTAATGCTGCTGTAATTATGAACAACAACAAAAAACTCTTCCTTTTATTAAAGCTCACTGAGATATTTAGTTCTACCTGAACACAGTTGATAAAAACATTATAATTAAAAGGTAAAGATAACATTTTTAAGGAAAGTCAAATGTTCAAGTCGACTGTGACGTTTATAGTTTTAGATTTTCTGTAGGAGACAATCGTGAACTTTTTTTTTTCACTGTTGCATCATTGACATAATTCATGTTAAAAGCATTTTAAAATATCTGTTTTTCTTCTAAGTTACTGCAACAACAGGTGGCGCCACTTCTTATGTACAGTCTGTGATGTCCATCTTCTGTCCATGTAAGGTGATTTAATGGGAGGGTATCTGCACAGAACCGGCTGGAACGCCACTCGGGTGTGAAGTTAGAGCGCGGTATACACCCATACTTGTTGTTTTTCCGTGTGGGGATGACTGTGATTCAGGTCCACGATGCGTGAAATGTGAAAAATGAACCGACAGTTGACACAGGAAGTAGAGATGGATTTTTCAGAATAAAACGATAAGCAAAAAAACACACACACACACGAACTTGTTGAATTTTTTTATTTTTATTTTTTCCTAATTTGAACTGTTGGATAAACCACAGAAAGTTCGTAGCTTCTCGTTGCGTGTTCTAATGTATGTCACAAGCGTGTGGTGCAAAGCATGCAGGGAATGTTGTCGCCGTGATGTTATCTGCACAGAACCGGCTGGAACGCCACTCGGGTGTGAAGTTAGAGCGCGGTATACACCCATACTTGTTGTTTTTCCGTGTGGGGATGACTGTGATTCAGGTGCACGATGCGTGAAATGTGAAAAATGAACCGACAGTTGACACAGGAAGTAGAGAGATTTTTCAGAATAAAACGTTAAGCAAAAAAACACGCACACGAACTTGTTGAATTTTTTATTTTTTCCTAATTTGAACTGTTGGATAAACCACAGAAAGTTCGTAGCTTCTCGTTGCGTGTTCTAATGTTTGTCACGAGCGCGTGGTGACGTGACATTGCAAAGCATGCAGGGAATGTTGTCGCCTAAAGTTCCCATCATCCTTGGACCGATGATGGTGCTGATGATGAGTCAGCATTTGGACCTAAAGTACGACATGTTTCTGTGTCTCTGAAATGTTCTGTTTCTTAAATGCTACGTTAGCAGCAGCCATCTTGGATTGTCGGTGTCGGTGTTGATGTCGCTCACGGAGTCTGACGTTGCATGTTGTTCATTTCTGTCGAAGTTCAGTCTCTCCATTATTGACAGGAGTGCAGGCCTGTTTGACCAGGTGGTGGCAGTATTGCTTTTTTATGTTAGGCTCCGCCCAGATACCGACGCCATTGATATGCAGTTGTCTGTTGAGTACATGGTGGCTCAGGCGTGGCGTCAGTCTCAGTGTAGGAGCCAGAGCTGAGGACAGGTTTACAGAAGAGACACCGACGCTGAAGGAACTGAACCACAGGACCATCTGTGGTGTCTTTATTTTATTTAAAAATTTTTTTTTTTTTTTTTTGCTAATTTAAAAAAAGGATATTTAAACAAAACTTCAAACTTCTTCCGAGGGAAAACGTCTTCTGGAGGTGAGGGGGAACTTTGCAGAGACACCTGGGTGAGACATCGTACATTCAGTTGTAAACAGTAATTAATACTCATTGATATTTGAACCTTAAAAAAACGTTTTAAAAGTTTGTCAAAATATTTAATTTAGCCTCAGTTTTCTTCCTGTTTTAGACTTTTGGCTTCTGCGAATATTTTAGAAAATCTATTTTTAAAAATGTAATATATTTTAAAGTTATTTTGCAGGGCAGGATCGTGTTGTTGTGAAGTTATAATTTTTATGGTGGTTTGTGTTTTGTGTCTGGTCAAAATCACCGCCTCCTGAATCTCTTTGGTTTCTAACACTGGGATGAGAGCGTGGCACTGATTTTTTTTCTCCCTCAGATCAGAGAATTCCTTCTCTGCAGAATTCTAGAGGATGACCTTTGACACCAGGTCACAGCCTGACTGACCGTGGTATTCATACTGTAAATACTCTGTGAGCATCAGATATGTGGTGATGTGGTAATGACCTCCTTCAGAACCTGCTCTGGTTTCTCCATCCTCTGACTGGAATGTCAACAGACGACACGTCTTCCTCTCTGCTCACTGACAAAAGGGCTGACAACAGTTGATGGGAGAGGAGTAGGGGGAGAGAGAAGGGGGAGGGAGGGGGGGGTTGTGTTGGTTTAAAACTTTATTTTCAAGAGGAGCAGGAAGGACAACTTGATATTCAATGGGTGGTTTGTGGACCAGTTTCAGTCCGTCGTTGTCTCTCTGCCTCGTTCACTTTTGTTAGTGTCTGAGTTGACATTTTATTTATGGACAACGACAGAGGAAAGACGAGCTCCGCTGTTCTTCTGTTCGCTCTTCTTTTAGTTTCGCATTTCTAGTGTATCCAATCAGATTCTTAGATTCCATGGGAAATAAATTTGAGGAAAACGATTCGTCGTCAGCAGCCTGACCGAAGTCGGGTGTAAAACTTTCTAGTTTCCCTGTGGTACAGAAGCGTCGTCTGGATGATGTTGTGGTTTATTCGTGTCACTGTCGCTTTAAGAACGGTCAGGTGATGCAGTCACATGTACTGTATCTTGTCCAACCTGTACACAGTGTACTGTGCTGGCGCTGCGCCTGTTTTTTCCTGTTGAAACGTAGTCACGAAAAATCTCAACATGTGACGACGACTGTTGTTTTGTTTTTAAGTTTGCTTCCCATTCCACCTCACACTCGTAGGTGAAACAACGACCCCCAGAGTCCTGAGTAGGAAGTGTTTTCATCCTTTTTTATTAAATAAATTTATATTTTTAATTGATGTAAACGACTGCCAGTGGATCAGTTAACAACAAGGAAGACTTTGATCCTTAAGTTCTTCAAAAGCGGGTGTGTCTCATTCAAGTTCATATTATATATAATTAACAAAAATGCCCGATGACATCATCGTCCACCATCAGGATTATCATGCCCATTGTGTTTGCTGGTAGAAAGGTTTCAGGTTTTATTCTTAGTCACTGCTGCTACTTTGTCTTTTCACTGTGGTTGACTTAGAACTATCTCCCTCTCTCCCCCCTCCTCTCTGTCTCTCGTCCATCTGTGCAGTGTCGTCGTACTTTGCCATGAGACAAGTTCTGCCCTGAATTAACTCCGATTCCATGCAGCGATTTCCTCACTACGTGACCCCCATGGACCCCCAGGTGTGTCCGCTGCCCCTGAGCAGCAGCCAATCGTTGATGAGCCTGGACAGATCGCCGGCCAGCACGTTCAAACCCAGCCACTCACGCAACAGCAGCACCGGCTCCTCCAAACACTCAAAGCAGGTGAGTTTCAGCCAACATCTGATGTGTTGATATATATTTAGAGTATAAGATTATATATTTAATTTTTTATAGCTTACCTTTGTTTCTTTGTGGTCTTTTGTTTTTTGTTTTCAAAATAAAATAGAATATAAGATTTATATATTTAATTTTTTATAGCTCTTTTGTTTTTTGTTTTCAAAATAAAATGTTTTGCAGTTTATTTCCTGTTTCTTTGTTCCTATAATTGTGATTTTTTTTTTAAAGAACTATTTTAAGTCATTAACAACTGTTTTTCCCTTATTTTATTTGAGACATTTCTGAACATTTTCCTAAATGTTTTTAATCCTGTGAAATATTTGTCTTTGAATTCCAGCTCATTCATTTGTAAATTGTGTTTCCTTGATGTGCAAAAAAAAAAAATAAAACTTCCAAATCTTTTTGAATTTTCCAGTCTCGTAACTGGGAGGTGATCGAAGACCTGCAGCATCTGGAGATGATTTCTGCTCCAGGCTCCACTCTGGACCTCACCATCCCAGGGATCTGTGAAGGCTACCTGATGAAGAGGAGGAAGTATCCGATGAAGGGCTGGCACAAGGTGAGAGCATCTGTTTCCAAATCTTCAAATCTTTTTTTTTTATTATTTCAAACTTCCTGACTAATGATGTTTTTTTTTGTTTTTTTTTTTCTCCCTCTCTTCAGAGATACTTCATTCTGGAGAAAGGAATTCTGAAGTACTCCAAAGCGCAGCAGGACGTAAGCGAGCGTCAGGATCGAGTCCCTGAAATATTTCCACTCGGACCAAAAACACGAGGAGTAACAGAACCTCTGCTGTTGTTTCAGATCCAGAGAGGGAAACTTCACGGTTCTCTGGACGTCAGCCTGGCCGTGATGTCCATCAACAAGAAGTCCAAACGCATCGACCTGGACGCTGGAGACAATCTCTACCACCTGAAGGTAGAATAAAGGCTGCGCTGAGCACAGGTTCACAGATTGTCAGAAATGAAGTTTCTCATTTATTTGTTGTTTTTTTTCTTAGGCCAAAAGCCACGATATCTTCTACATCTGGCTGACCAAGCTCTGTGCTCATCGGCTGTACAGGAAAAACGAGGCCATGAGCGTCCATCACGGCGTCCTCCACGCCCTCTCCATGGGTCAGAGTAATCTACCATCCATGGTCACATACACCCAGAAGAACCGAGCGAGGGTGAGTGAAGGCGACAGACCCCCGGGTTGGACCACGGGTTGGTCAGGAAGCTGCAGTAGTGAAGTAGTTGTTAAATATTTAAAATGTTAATATAAAACTTAATATTTTTTAATTTAATTAATATAAATTATAAATAAATTTAATATTAATTTTATAATAAAATATATTTTATAATATATTATAATATACTTATAATATATTTAATATATTAAATATATATATATT